AAAGTTCCGTCAAGTAAATTTTTTTAAAGCCTCAAAAGCATGGCCTCATTAGCGGCTAAAATGTTAAGTCAGGGGGCTCAGAAGTAATGCATGGATAAAGGTGTCGATTGGGGTGATAGATACTTCAAGTGGCTGGAACGGAAGCTCTCCACAAACACGCAGACAGAGAGGCATTGAAGAGGCTGGACAACATCCACGGTCATTTGAATTCACACCTCATCAGGTAACTTCTTAGACTGAATTTCATTTTGGGATTACCAATAAACAAGGGAAGTTAGGGGGTGTTTGGAACTGATTCTGATTCTGGTTCTTTTTTAAAGTAGAATCAGAATCAGTTTTCAGAAGCTGGTCACCCCCAGCTTCTAAAAAAACTGATTCTAAGAGTAAATTAGAGCACCAGAATAACTTCTGCACTTTTACCCAAACACTTCAACTTCTGCTTCTGCTGCCTGAAGGAGCAGAAGCAATTTTAAGAATCAAATCCAAACACCCCCTTATTCACTTTCACTCACTTCATGTTTGGATTTATTAATAGATTGAAGGGAAAACGGAAATGTGGATTAAGAGTTGTCAATTATTAAATATGGCGTGATATTGATACTACTTTGATGATGTACATGTTATTATTTACATGTATTCAATAGTCTAAAACTCCACATGATCGGGAATGATGATGGGTGTGTTTACTCAACGTTGTAAGATAGGTGTTTGTAAAAATGACTAAATGAAATTTATATCAATTTCTTAAACATTAACCATCTTTTATGTGTTTTAGTAAATGAAACTAATAAAAAACTACATACTTCATGAAACTAATAAAACTGGGCGGTATAAATTTGGTCCAATTCAAACTGCATACTTCACTTTGGGGATGATGAATACGTGGGTTTTATGCCAGTTGGAATATTATACATCCGGATGTACGTAGGGCATGGTACATCCAGCCCATCAGAAGTATTATAATGGACTGGAGCACTAAAAAACTACAGTAAACGATCCAACTAAGGTAGACATCCCAATAACTAATATAGGCCAAAATTAATTCGGTGGCATTTTTGTAATTTAAGAGAAAAATCACGGCTTCCGCTAAATAAGCAATAGTGTACCTTTAATGAGTATCAAACCTATTTTATTGAGTATTTAAGAGACTAACAATGAGTATCACGACATCTGCTTCATATTTTCTAATTCTTTTTTCTTTTTCTTATTTTTTCTTTTATAAAAAGTTATTATATTATGACTATAATACACTACTATTAATTTTAATATGCGAATCTAATGTAATATGATACTTTTGAAATATGCATTCATATAACAATTCAAAAATGAGCATAACATCAGTACCAAAAAATGAGCATACATAACTTACAAAGTGTACATTGATATGAAAATCAAAAGGTTTGTTAGTTGAACATCATGACATTTTAATTGAGCTTCAAACATCCGCTATAATGAGATGAAAATCATGGTTTCTTGTGCATGAACATTTATGAACATTTAATGAGAATAAGATCAGTACCAGATGAGCATATGTAACTTACAAAATGAGAATTAATGAATTTGTTAGTTGTTTTGTTAGTTGAACATCCCGATATTTTCATTGAGCATCAAACCTCCTCTATTGAAATCGATGAAAATCACAAGTTCTGTTAAATGGGTATTAATGAAATTTTAATGAGTATCAGATCTATACAAATGAGCACATGTAGCTTACAAGATGATCATTGATATTAAAATTGTAAGTTTTGTTCATTGAGCATCAAGACATTTTCAATGAGCATCAAACCTCCGTTATTGATTATTAGAATCATTGAGTATCATGATTTGTGGTCTTGTGTGTATAATCAACATCTATATAAATTTAATGTAATATGAGACTTGAAATATGCATTGCGAAAACATTTTAAATTTTGAGCATAATAGAGATACTAAATGAAAATACATAATTTACAAAACGAGTATCCAAAAATTCAAAAGCTCATTTGTGTATATTCATTTTTTTAGGCGTTTTACTCATTTGAGTTTAAAGTAAAATTCATTTCTAAATTGTTCAGTATTAATATATAATGAAAAAGAAAGAAGTAAATAACAAATAAAGAAACCAAAAGAAGTAAAGAAAAAAGACAAAACAAAAGAAAGTAAAAACTAACGGTAAAAGTAAAGAAAAAAATAAAAAAGAGTAACAATCATGAATGAGTATGGCATGAGTATGGCGGCAGAAGAAAAGAAAGAAAAGGGGATGGTTGAAGGAGTGGAGAGAAAAGAGAACGTCGGCGGAACAGGAAAGATGATGGAGAACATCCGTATTCAACGAGAAGATAGATCAGAGAGCAAAGGCTTAAAGTTGCTAAAAGTTACAAAATAACCGGGTGTACACGTACACCCGGGTGTAAGATATAATTTGCGGTTTTATGCTGGGTTATAGTTTCACACTTGTTTTATGTTTTAGGCTCATTATGTGTATGCTTGCATTCTTTTACAGTTTTACATTGAAACTCTAATGAATTTTCCATGCTTGGTAGTGTTAAACTTGATTCTTTTTCTTGATAGACATGCCTAATCATTTGTGTTTATCAATATTTACGATTTAACGACTTTTTCTCTGAAGAATACACCTTCGAGCGATAATATATCGGAAAAGATGCCACTTGTGTTGAATTATTCTACCCGAAAGCGTACATTCCGATGAAAAAGTCCTTAAAGTGCAAAGATTCATTAGGTACAAGACCAAAATTTACAAGTAACTAAAGTAATAGGACCGATAACGGTATGAGTCAAAAGTTACATGACTAAAATTGTAAATTTCCATATTAATTAATTAAATTGGGGATAGAAATGTAATATTTAGTCCTACTTAAGGAAAATCAAACATATGATCATACTTTTGTGGGAAAATTGTGATGATTTAGTCCTACCATGAGTAATTGCATATGTATAATATGACAAGGAACAAACAAACAAACAAATAAATAAATAAATAAATAAATGAAATAAATGTAGTTTATCTAGCAACGCAGAGTGCTACAACAATAAATGAAGCATAAAAATCCAAATTTACTTTTATTAAAAAGAAAACTCAAAGTTTCGAGATTGCTCAACAATTTTGGTGTCTTTATGATCAATTGTTACTGTTATATTATACAAATCAACGAGTAACAACATTTATCGTTACAAAAACGTTGCACTCATTGTTTTCTTTCCGTTCTTAGCTTGTTAAATTTTATATACTTATATACGGTTATATATTTATTAATTTGAAATTATATTTTTATGTGTTGGTGGTTTAATGATTAAACACAGTAATAGTTAAAATATTATTTTCTTAATTGTTAACTGATCGACGACATACCAAAATTGCACCGATGTAATACTATCGATTCTTATATCAGTTCTTTTAAAATCTTCTAGAATTGAATCAATATGGGATTAATGATTCTTCAAATGGTTCCTAATTTTCTTTCAAGAACTGGACGGATTTCACCCTTACATATTCCTTCATAAGAAGACATATAAGATATCACTTTTAAATTGTTTAAGTTTATTTTGTGTATTAGTATTAATGTATAATCTCCTTATTCAGCGTTATTTATCCTAAAATAATAACAAATCAAAATTTAATGTTCAAATCTTGCATATTTAGACCATCTTGCCATCTTGGTACTCACCTCTTGACCAGACTCGTACTAGTCCAGTACTTGTTTATCTATTTGTGATATAGCGGTGGATCGGGCCCGGTTTGGTTCCGGTTCCGGTTCCGGTTCGGGCCTAGGATCGGCCGGGCCTGGATCTGTGGGAGTGTAGCCCGGAATTGGCCCGAGTGTAGACCGGTACCGGTTTGGGCCGGGCCACCATCCGGGTACTGGGCTGGTCCGGTTCGGGCCTAGGGTCAATTTTTTCCCCTTGTTTCCTAATTAATTCTAGAAGTGCTACATATAAAAAACTTCAAGTGCATTTATTTGAAATATGAACTGCATTTGAGAATTGAGAAGAAAGTTACAATATGAAATACATTGTCTAATAAATAATAATATAATCAATAATCAAATGGAATTTCCCTGGTCTTTTCCTTTATCACAGGATTTAATATGTCTTGTGGTGCTCTCGTATCCTTGTGAAAGCTCCAAACTACACTCTTTCTTGCACCACTTGCAAGTTGCGTACCACATTTTGGTCTTCGGGTCTTTCCACTTATCAAAATTATTTTTCATAAGGGCATATTGACTTTCCATCTTAAAAATGGTAGATATAATAATTGTATAAATAGTAAAATAGATGTATAAGAAAATAAGAGAAGATGAAGATGGAGAAGAGGTGTAGGAAAATGTTAGAAAATATGAGTATTTATAGTGTGTTTTTGTACCCCCAAAACCCTCTCGGGACCCCCTCCTCTCACCCAACGGCTATATAACCGTTTGGGAGTTGGGACATTTCCCTACGCCTAGGGGCTGAAAATTTAAAAAAAATTAAAAATATAGCCGTTTGGGTTAAATGTTAAAAAAAAATAGGGTTACTCAGTTAGATCGGGCCTAAGTATATTTTGTTTTCTTGTTTCCTAAATAATTATAATATTTATAATTAATATATTATATACTTAATATCTATATATATTATATACTTAATATCTACTTCATCACTAATTAGAAGTGCTGCTTATAAAAAAATCAAGTTTATTTACTTGAAATATGAGGTACAATAATTGAGAATAAATTAAAATATGAAATACATTTCTAATTTCTAATAAATTATAAATATATAATCAATCGGAATCTGCCCCCTCTTCAGTTTTTGTTTCCATAAAGTGTTCGGTGGGGGTGATGCTAAGTTCTTGAGTTCTATGTTCGGCCTTCAACCAAGCGTGGTAGCAAACAAGCGTCTCAAGAGAGTTTGCGCTCAATCGCGTTCTATAATCTGTTAGGACGTTGTCAGTCGCACTAAATTCTTGTTCCACAGTGATGGATAGTGTACCCGATGGGTAGCTTATACGAGGGTTATTATGAGAAATAACTTAGAGAAAAGTTAGAGCAATAAGTAAGAGAGAGAGAGAGTCAGATATATTAATGAAATCTGATCCGGGGTCCTTTACAAGAGGAATAAGGGCTGCTATTTATAGCTGATAGAGTATATTCTAGAGAGAGGTGAGAGCTAGAGAGAGAAGTGCAAGTAAATGCTTCAATAAATGATTTTCCAACCCCTACAACTACCTCCAGAGGAAGTATTTATAGGAAAAATATGGGCTGGGCTCCCAAGCCTTGGGCTTGGGAGGCCCATTTACAACTGGACCGCTATTGGGCCGAATACAAAGTGAATGATGTAGTATACAAAATGAGTAAGTGTAAAATCCGGTTCTGGGAGTCCTTTGTGGCCGACGAGGGTCTGGCCGATGAGTGCATGGCCGACGAAGACTCGGCCGACGAGGTCACCCGGTTCTTCTGGCTTCCGGATCATGTTCTGGGTTGACTTCGTTCCAGCCGATCAGGGTCACCTGGTCGATGAGGGTCCCACTGGGTGGCAGCTGTGTCTTCTGTTCTCCTGAGTATGTGGGTCCTGGGGCCTAGACCCATATACTCCATCAGGAGTCCCCCACTCTCTAAGCTGAGATGTAGACGAAGTGAAGGAGAGTAGATTCCTATTCTTTTTATGCTTGGCCGTTGCGTGCCCCTTGTTGCGGACGGGAGAGATCCTAGCCATGCGGATGGTACGTGTTCTTTGCTCTCTAGGACGATGAATATCCTTTCTTGATGGGGGTGGTGAAGGTCCGCAGTTGTGGGTGGCCGATATGTGTCTTTGGCATGAGTGGCCGATGAGGACATTCTTTCCTTTTCACGATCTTCGGTGGCTGAATTTTGTTTTTGGGCCGAGGAGGCCACTGCGGTTGTGTCTTGCTTGAAGACGATGAGCGTCCTTTACCTTGAGTGTCCGTTAAGGGCGCTGTTCACTCCTCCTGGCCGTTGTTGGTTAAATTTCGTACTTTTGGCCGAGGAGGCCATTGGGGCTACCTATTTGTTGGAGGACGATGAGCGTCCTTTGTCTTGAGTGGCCGTTGAGGGCGCTGTTCACTCCTCCTGGCCGCCGTTGATCACTTACCGTGCCCTTAGCTGAGGCGGTGTGTGGTGGTTAGTTGCCCAAGGTCTTGGGGACGATGAGCGTGTTGCGCTTTTGCCCTGGCCGGAGATGGCACTTACAGGGGCCTTGAAGCCGTTGTGATGCGTAGCCGATATGATCACGTTTGTAGTTGTGTACTTGTGTATTTTTGACTCTTTCCATTTTTGCGTTTTGAGGCCAGTGTAGTCCCCCAGTCCCCCACTGCTTCAGGCCGAAGAGTGAGTGAGGGGTGAAGGAGTAGTGTGAGACCCAGGCCGGAGCGGGATCCTCATGTTGACCTTGAATCCAACCTTTTGGCGATTTCCTGACCAAGGTAACCCTGTGGGAGAACCCTTGGACGCAGGTCGCTTTCAAGGGGTTATCATCAACGGTTTTGTGCGAGGGCCGCTGGGCGTCGGGTTCCCTTCCCTTGTGGTGTTGTGGCCGTTGTAAGGCCTTTCTTTACATAATATGTATGGCCGCTTGAATGGCCGATACGGGTGCTACCTGGGTAGCCGTAGCCTGTGTTGGTCGTTGAATGCCTTGGCCGGTGTGGGTGCTATTTTCCCATTCGTCGCTCCGTAGGGCCTGCTTTGCTGGTGGGCTGTTGCTCTGTGGACTGGGCCTGGCCCATTTACGAAGTGGTGGCATCCCATTGGTGGCTGTTGGTGTGGCCATTAGGAAGGTGCCACGTGTAGTGACCATTGGGGGGGGGGCTCTATAAATACCCCTCCCATTCCGAAGAAAGCCCTCATTTGCGATCTGAGCTACCGAAGTGCTGCCCAAATTTCTTGAGAGATAAAGTCCTTGCAAGTGTTCTTCGTGTTCTTCAAAGCTTCAAAGGTTAGTTCATCGAATTTTCCTCTGTACTTTGCCTACTTTGCTTCCTAGGCCCTTGATCTAGTGTTAGGCATTAAACACCTTTAGATCTGAAGTAGGTTCCGTTAGGCCCGTAATAGTGTTATGATGAAGATCTTGAACGAAGAGTACTACCCCTACGATGATGAGCCTTCCGCCAAGTCCCTTGATTACGAAGTGGTCGAAGAGTTCTGCGAAGAGCTTGAAAATCTGAGTTCGTTCAAATCGGGGGAGCAGGACGATGAGGGTGATGAGGACGAGGAGTCTGCCTCATCATCTGGAGGTGGGGACGTAGGAGTCTCCCGAACCGCGGACAGGGCGTCCACGTTTGCTGCCATCCCATGCCCTAAGCCGGTGTATGCCGTCAAGGGTGTCGCGGTGCCGAAAAGGGTGAGGAGGCCGAAGAAGGGGCCGGCCTTTTCTTATCTGGATCTCTCCAACATTTTCATCATCAGGCCACATAGCAACACGGGTGAATACCTGGTCGCGCAGATGTACGTGGGGCCGTTTGGTAGGGTTAGGGCCCCCAGCCCGACGGACCATGTTCTCAATCCACCCCCGGGGTACTTTGGAGTGTACCCGATAAGTTTCGCCAAAGGACTTCGGTTCCCGCTTCACCCGTTCATCACCGAGTACCTAGACATGGTAGGGCTCCCTCCGGCCTTGTTGACGCCGAACAGCTACTCGCTCATCGTTGGGTTCCTCTTACGTTGCGCTGAGTTGGATTTTCGGCCGACGACGGCGCTGTTTATGAACCTCTATCAGATAGGCCGTGGAAGTCATCAGAACTGCGCTTGCTATGCCACTCTCCAACAACTGCCGAAGAAGAGAAGCTTCACTTACTTGTCGTCGTCCATCCACGGTTGGAAGAGTAAGTTTGTTTTCATGTCGTTGGGTGAAGGGGGCGTGGAATTTCCCTTCGTTGGCCATAGTGGGCGGTTCAATCTTCACGACACGCCGAAGAGCTCCACCTTGGATGCTCAGGTTGAAGCTTTCCTGAAGGGAGGGCCGAGGAGCGTGAAGACGTACATCACGGAGTACAAGATGGCCGCCCTCGGCTTCGTGAGGTATTTTGTATATGGTGATAAGGACGATGATGTAGAGTTGTGGCCGAAGATGACCACGACTTACGAGGAGGCTGATGGTCCTGATCTGGGGGTGCCAGCTGAGGATGATGGTAATACCTTTTCGATGCCCTCCTTCTCATCGTAGTTTTATCCTTTTATTTGCTGACCCTTTGTATTTTTTCCGGTGCAGGTTTTGTCATGGATCGCATGTCTTTCATGAAGAGGGCGCAACTAAAGGCGTCCGAAGAGCTGAAAGCCCAGCAGCCCGCTACTGCACCTGCGACGAAGCCCCTTGTTCAGCCGAAGAAGAAACGGCCGACCGATGAGGTTCAAAAGAAACTGACTGAGGCAGGCTTGAAGCCTACCAAGAAGCCGAAGAGGGCTTCTCCTGCTGGTGATGCTGGGACGTTGGCTGTTCCTTCTGGGGATGAAGGTGGCTCTAACGCCGATGCGTTGGTGGATCTGACTTCAGGCCCTCCATCCACTGTTGTATCCAACCTTCCTCCCGCCGCCGCAGCCACCCGGAAGAAAGGGTCCGGCCGAGAGTTGGTCATAGGGACCTATAAGTTCGAGGTTGAATACCCCGTTAAGGGCGGTTTATTCAACGAGATTGTTGATGGCCACGAGGTGATCTCCCAGGCCATCCCCGACGAGGACGGGGCTTATCTGAAGAAGCTCGGTAATGTCAACATGTACGATGGTGGGATGGACCACATCGTCCAAGTAAGTTTTCCTTTGTCTGCTTCGTCTTCTTCTTCTTTTCTTTATTACGCGTCAGCGTCGTCTAACCATTGTTTTCCCGCAGGGTGCCTTTATGTTGATGGAGAACAACAGAAGGCAACAAAGGGAGATTGCTTGATTGAAGCAAATCGAGGAGAAGGTGGCTTCGGCCGATGAGGCTCTGGACAGCTTGGAGAGGCTGCGGCTCGAGGTGGAGGGCCTGAGGCAAAAGGCGGATGAGGCTGATCTGCTGGCCACTGAGAAGGATGGGCCCTTGCCGATGTGGAGCAGGCTCGTGATGAAGCCCTTCGTCGTGCCGAGGAGGCCGAGAAGGGTAAGGCCGATGCAGAGTTGGCCCTGAGTGCTGCCGAAGAGAGGGCCGCCGAGGCCGCTGTGCAAAAATTCCTCGAGGTCGGCTGGAAAGGCGAGGACCGACTTCCTTGGTGCTTCAACGTCGTGGCGGCGAAGCTCGTTGACTGGGTCAATAAGTGCCCTGACGGCTAGGCGTACTGGGAGAAGGAGATGAAGGTCTTCTACGACCTTGGCCAGTACAGGATGCAGAGACTGCTCTATCGGATACTCCAACGTCGATTTCTGGATCTGGGTGTTGCCAAGGAGTGGGCCGTCGGTCTGGAGCTGCCTCCGATGATGAGGCATCCTAAAGCTGAACTGGAGCTCCCTGTTGCGGAAAGGCAACTCCCCATCGAGAGCTCCCAGGCCAGTGACGATTGGACCTATGAGCCAAACATGTTTGAAGACACCGCTACATCTGGTGCTGCTACCGATGGGGCCACTGCTCAAGCCGAAGACAAGGCCGGTGTTGAAGGGAACTCAGAAGCCCTGCGGGATTCATGATCCATCACTTTATTGTTTCTTTGATTGTTTACGATGTAACGGCCATGAAGCCCCCCTTGTACCTCTTTTTTGTTGTGAATGAAAATATGCCTCTTTTCGGCTTTCACGCTTTACTATATCGTCTTTGTTGTTTTTTTGTTTTTTTGTTTACAAGATGTCCAATTGTGTTGGGAGTTAGGTCATCGTCATCCTCGATTGCCTTATGGTTGTGGCCGAAGCGGGCAGCTTAAGTGTGAGTGCTCGCTTCGTGTCGGTGTAATCCCCCCCCTTATCCTCTGTTGACATGGACTTCGTGAGTCAAAATACTTAGAAAAATTTAGAAAATTTTCTAAGTGTCACATTGAGTAGCTGCCCTAGTCTGGGGCCTTCGTCGGCCACTATGGCCACTACGGCCAGTGTGGATAGCTCGTAGTTTCGTTCACCGTGTACCCTTCGTCGTGTCATTCCTCATCCTTTTTGTTTCATTCGTAGTTGTCGAACAAGAATCCTTGATCTTGTTTTGCGTAGTCATGGCTGATGAGAGTTCCTGTCTTTTCCTCGGCTGGGGGTATCTTCCTCGTCCCTGTAATTTGAGCTTGGAGTGTGTGTCCACTCCCTTCGGGACGGCGGGAGTGTAGGGCCTTTGTCGGTCGTGGGAGGTGTCCCTTTGGGATGTTTCCAAGTGTTTGGAAATTTCTCAAGTGTCGAGCAGCCTGGATCCTTGTCTTCGTCGGCCACTCTGGATGCTACTCAGGGATTTTTTCCTTAAACACTTAGACATTTTTCTAAGTGTTTGAACATACTTGGGTGATTGCTTTCTGTATTGGTGGCAGACGACGGTCTTGTCGGTCATATACACCCTTGTCGGCCATGTACACTTGGATATGCACATGGATATGTTCGCCTGATATGTACTAAGATAATTCTGGGGATTTTATTTTTTGTTGCTCGACGCCGGCAAGTGCGCACGGTCCGTCGACTTCCTTTTTTTTGTTCCCGGTTTCGGGGAGTGTCCTTCTTTCAGGCTTCGGCCGCAGGGGTCGATAGTCCTCCGGACGGTTTGGACTTCGTTTATAACGTCCATGATCTCAGGGGGGTCCCGTCGCCTATTTATGACACAGGCTAGACTTTTGGTTGGTTTCCAATGGATACCGTTGCCGGACCCTGAGTTTGGGGATTTTGTCACCTCGGCCATGATTTCAGGCCTGTCGTCCTGCGATCAGGCGCATGGATGAGGTGGTGAACTTCCCATTTCAAGACGTGGGCCGTTTGCGGGCCCGTCGTTCTGGGGACATCGTCGGCCCTGCCTGAGTGTTTCGCTCTAAGGGGCCGATACGACGTGCTCTCTCAGCTGGGCCTAAACCTTTCGCTGATACAAAATACAATGGGGCATACCTGAGCCTTTCGCTCTAAGGCTGCCAATGTGAGGCGCCGTGTCGGCCATACCTGAGCCTTTCTCTCTAAGGTGGCCGATGAGGGCACCCGTTAATATTTTACTTGAAATTCCAAAAACAATCAAGGGAAATATGACTTTTATTCATAAGTGGCTCGAGGCCGAGGGTAGTGTTCGACCAATAACCCGTTAGGGGTGAGGGCTCTGCCGGCTGCACCTCCTTCGGATTATTGGTAAAACATCACCATATGGTGTACATTCCACGTTCGTGGTACATTGGACCCATTCGGGCGTTTAAGCTTGTAGGTGCCTGGTTTGACCACGACACTAACGATGTAGGATCCTTCATACTTCAAAGCCAGCTTGCCACCTTCTGTCGGCTGACTTGCTTCCCTTCGGCGGAGGACGTAGTCCCCCACTTGAAACTCCCTTGAACGTACCTTAGCGTCGTAATATGATTTTATTTGACGCCGGTACTTTTCGGCCCGGATGAACGCTTGTTCGCGTCTCTCTTCGACCAGGTGGAGGTCGGTCTTCATGTTTTCTTCGTTGGCGTCAGGCTCATATTGGTCCACCCGTTGGCTGGGGATGGCGACCTCTGTGGGTGCCTTCACTTCAAAGCCATAGCACAGGGCAAAGGGTGTTTCACCTGTCGCCCTCCTCGGCGTAGTGCGATAGCACCATAGGATGTTGGGGAGCTGGTCGACCCAACTTCCTCCCGCGTCCTGGAGTTTCTTCTTCAGCCCCTCCATGATAGTTCTGTTGGCGTTCTCGACCTGCCCGTTGCCCTGAGGATAGGCAACGGAGGAGAAACGATGCTTTATCCCCCATTCTCGAAGGAGCTCCTGGAATGGCGCCGCTTCGAACTGGGTGCCATTGTCGGATATGATCTCTTGGGGGACACCGAAGCGGGTGAGAATGTTCTTGTGGACGAACTTCTGGCACCTAGCCCTCGTGATGCTGGTTAGAGGTTCCGCCTCGACCCACTTGGTAAAATAGTCGACTGCGACGATGATGTAGCGGTTATTTCCGGAAGCTCTGGGTAGGGGGCCGACCAGGTCTATTCCCCATCTGGAGAATGGGATTGTTGTGCTGACCGGGGCATATTTGACGGCTGGCCGACCAGGGGCCTTCTGAAGTACCTGGCACGCTGTATATCTCCTAGCGAGGTCCGCACATTCCCACGCCATCGTCGGCCAGAAATAGCCCTGGACGACGAGACGCCGGGACATGCTGAAACGGCCCTCGTGCGAGGAGCAGACACCGCAGTGGACCTCCTCCATGGCCACTTCGGCCTCGTCCTGGTGCAGGCATCGGAGGAGAGTGCCATTGTAGGATCGCTTGTAGAGCTTGCCATCTTCAATGGTGTAGCTTGGAGCCCTGAGCTTAGCAAGTTTGGCTCTCTCCTCGTCCTGGGGTAGTTCCCCCGTGGTGATGAAGGTTGTGATATCGAAGATCCAATCTTCCGGCCGCTCCTGGATGCACAAGACGGGGCTGGCGTGGATGCTGGACATGCTCAGCTCCTCGACATTGGCTATCTTGGAGATGTGCTCCGGAGTGTCTGAGTTGAGCTTGGAGAGGATGTTGGCCTCGGCGTTCTTGACCCTTGGGATCTGAGTGATCTCGTGGGTTTCGAACGCTTTCAGCAACTCCTCTGCCGCTTGTTTGTATTGCCTCATCCGACCTTCCTTTGCTTCATACGAACCCTCAACCTGGCCCACCACCAGTTTGGAGTCGCACCTGATTCTGATGTGCTTGGCTTTGAGCCCGGCGGCGAGTCTGAGGCCGCTGAGGAGGGCCTTATACTCGACTTCGTTGTTTGACACCCTGAAGTTGAAGCGGATGGCGTAGTATGCTCTGAATCCTTCAGGGGAAATGAGGACGACGCCGCCCCCCGCATGCTTTCGCGGCCGAAGAGCCGTCAGTGAAGAGGGTCCACGTGTCGTCTGGCTCTGGCCCGGGGGTAGTGGCGGCCATCTCCCTTGTTTTGCATTCGGTGACGAAGTCGGCCAAGGCCTGCCCTTTGATAGATGGCCTTGGCTTGATCTCAATCTGGAACTGACTGAGGAAGATCGCCCATTTCACCATTCTTGAGGAGCTAGTGGGGCTCCTCATGAGTGCGCCGAGGGGCTGCTGGGTCAGTACCTGGACGGCATGGGCCTGGAAGTAGTGCCCTAGCTTTTTCACCGTATGGACGATGGCTAGCACCATCTTCTCAATGGGGGAGTACCTGAGCTCAGCCTCCCTGAGTGTTTTGCTGATGTAGAATATGGCCTTCTGCACCCCTTCGTCCTCGCGGATGAGCACGGAGCTGATGGCCGACGTGCTCACCCCCAAGTATAAGAAGAGGGTTTCGCCGGCTTTGGGCTGGGAGAGCACCGGCGGGGACGAAATGCTTCACCAAGTGCTTCCTGGCACCAAAAGCTTTGGGCTTGGAGAGCACCAGAGCTTTTTCACCAAATGCTTCCTGGCACTCCGTCATCCACTTGAAGTTGTTTGCTTTGCGCATGATCTGGAAAAAGGGAAGTGACCTCTCGGCTGATTTGGAGAGAAAACGACCTAGGGCCGCCAGGCGCCCCATTAGCCGTTGTACCTCCTTGACGTTGCGGGGTGGCCTACGGTCTCCCCCCCCCCCTCCAGCCTGACATGCGAATCCCCCTTCCTGAGGGTGAAGAGAGGCAACTGCTCGAGGATTTAGAGTTACTGAAGGATGGTGGCGGTGATGATAATGCAGAGGTCGAAGATGACGCTGCGTCGAAGCCAAGGGAGGATCTCCAAAAAGGTGATACTTAGGATATTTTCCTTAGTTTCTTTTTGTTGTAATAGTTCAGTAGGCCTCGACTTCGGCCAAACATGTAAACAATATACGCATTTGCCTTTGAATATTTTTTGAATGAACATTTGTGATGATGCATCTAGCTTTGATGTATAAATGTCCTCGTTTTCCTTCGATAATGTGCATGCCTCATTTCTTCTTTATTTTTACTTCTATGTATGCCTTCTTCCCATACGTATGAGTGTATGTTTAGTGTTGTGAATCTCCAAGAGTAGTCAGAGGGCCAAATATTTTTGGACTTAGAAATTTTCTAAGCAAAAATTCACAATGGATCCCTCGGTAAATCTCCACCTTCATTTATGAGTGTTGGTCCCGGTTGTACTGGATACAGTCTAGAGGGGGTGAATAGACTGTATTGGTTTTTAACTTTTTCAAGCTAAGTACCAGATTTAACAGAATAGCCTGTTGGCAGAACAGACTGGCAGCGGATGGGGTTCTGGTAGGGGGTTCTGTTAGTTTAGCCTCAGAGAAGCAAAGGCAGTAAGCCTTCTGTTAACTCACAGGACAAGTTCTGCTGAACACATAGACCAAGTCTTTGGAGTTAAACAGTTCAAATAAAAACGATAAATAAATGCAGTAAGTAAATGACACCAGGACTTTTTATATTGGTTCAAGGAACAACTTGTTCCTCTAATCCACTGTTCCACTAAGCTTGTAAAAACGACCGTTTACAACGTCTTAGTCCTATCACTTAAGAAGCTCTCCATGTCTTCTTCAAGTGTAGATGTCTCCTGGGATGCACTTCCTGGCT